TTTCATAAATCACAAAAATTGATACATCATGTTGTAGGAACTTGAAATTAATGTTATTTATCATGTTGTAGGCATTTAAAAGTAATGTTATTTATCATGTTGAAGACACTTGAAATTAATGTTATTTATCATGTTGTAGGCACTTGAAATTAATGTTACTTAATATAAATGAACATTAAATTTACCTCGTATGTAGATTTGGTATTATTTATTAATGATCTTTCAGGGTAAACAAAACTAACGCTATTAACAATTGTGCCTTTAAATTTGCCTTACAAGTTTTGACCACTTCAAAATATTGCGTATGTTTATAACTATATCTGTGGCTTTTATTCCACTCATTATTATATTTAAAACAGATCGGCCATTACTTACTGTGAACTAGAGTTGCGTGTTCGTCAAAACAGATCACCTTGACTTTATAGTAGTAAAAATAACAAATCCCCACCATTTTAAATCTCGCAAAAACTTGATATTCTTAAAAGCACTTAAACTAACAAAAGTTTCGCAAAAAAATAACGTCCACGTTTACAAAGGCCTTCTTACATCGGTTAATTAAATTTTAAGCCTAATATCCGGCGCTTTAGAGAAACAAAATAACAAAAGATATATTGAAGAGGTTTCATGAGACCATGCTTAGCACAAAAATATTTTCTGCAAAAAACCGTTATGTGAATTTATTTTTGAATAACATTTATCTCTACGTTCCCTTAAAAGACCCTCCCGATGTAATATTTAATGCGTGTTTTAGCCTAATTGCACTAACTTGATTCCTTTCTTAACACAAACAAAAGAGATTTCAGAATCACATTACTAATTCATACAATTGACAGTGTTTTAAAACAACAACAACAAACGCAGTGCTGACTGACGTATAATTATGAATACATAAAACAGCCGTGAACTCCAGATAATCTTTCAAAGTTTTTAATTTGCTGAAAATTTCGGCTTTACGCTTTCACCAGGAGCATAAATGAACTCTATCAGACATATTCCAAAACGATTTTAATTGTAGAGTTCATTTCAGGAAATTTATGCTTTTGGTGATGACGTAAAGCCGAAATGTTTGTTTTGGATTTCGTGCAAAGCTACACGAAGGCTATCTGCGCTAGCCGTCCCTAATTTAGCAGTGTAAGACTAGAGGGAAGGCAGCTAGTCATCACTCAACTCTTGGGCTACTCTTTTTTCAACGAATAGTGGGATTGACCGTCAAATTATAACGCCACCACGGCTGAAAGGGCGAGCATGTTTGGTGTGACGGGGATTCGAACCTGCGACCCTAAGATTGTTCAGCAAACATAAATTAAAAAGAAGAATGATTCTCTGGTGTTCACTGTCGTTTTATATTTAAAACATTTATAACATTCTTTACTGGGTGCATCTACTATCTTTAGGTTTTACCAGTGTGGACTGTGAAGCAACATTAATTTCTACAGTAATATTTAATATGACACATATATATATATATATATATATATATAATGAAAATCAAACTGTCCGATATATAGTTCTTTCTAAATATGGTTTGAAAGACATGTTCTCACATTTATTATCCACAGACAACAGATACTTTATTTATTTTGAAACGAAAAGAAACAAAAAATGTCATGAGCAGTTACATTCATGGACGTCATTCAAATGTGAAACGTCTTCATGCAAACAGGGTACACACAAACACACACATTAATAAAGCACTATTTAATAAGGCAATGATGATCGATAAACAAGCCAAATAGAAATGATATAACAATAAATACAAAGGGCGTATTCTTCTTTCTTTTTTTTTTTTTGTACAGTCATAGATTAACAAAAATTATGCAACCAGGTAAGAAAATACATTATTGTGGTTCAACGAAACTTCAACACGAATCTGAGATTTTTATATTTCTAGAGAGACATGTAATCTTTTGTTCATTTCACAGAAAGCTACACGAGAGCCATCTATGTTAGCTATTCCTAATTTTGAAGTGACAGACTTGAGGGAAGGCAGGTAGTCAATATTAACTATTGCCAACTCTTGTCTGCCCGAATAATAGTATTTGACCATTACTCTTCTAACGCACTTATGGCTCCAAAGTGCGGAGTGCGAGTTTTTTCGAGGGGTGGAGCGGTAACGGGATGCGAACCAGGAAATCTAAGTTCCACAGTCCGGCACGTAATCACTGAGCTGACTTATAACCATAACTGCCTAGTGACCGCTCAGATTTATTTATAAAACTGTACATTATTATCCGAAGGTTGTTGTTTATTACTAGAGTACGCCACATGTACTTATGGCAAAAACCGCGGGAAATCGCTAAAGAATAAGTAAATCAAATTTATTTATGGCTATTTTTCCGTAATCTTAAAATATCACAAGCCACATCTTCCAGGAAAAAAAAAACGCATCTAAAAAAAATATACACAATGTACATCATTCATAATAATTCCAACCTAGAGAAAAAAATTATTATTACCCTTTTATTACCAATTCTAACTAATAGCAAAAATATAAACAATGAAACTGACGACATAATACTGTGAAAAATAAGTCTTACCTTCAAAGGCACAATATCCAATGCGAAATAAAAGGCTTTTATAATACCTGAGGCAAATATAACTCCAACAAATATTATGGGATACCTATAAGTTACAAGTAAATCATTGCACACCACAAATGTTAACGCTTTTCCCTCATAAAATAAAAGATTAAAGTGGAAACCGAAATACACAAAAGTTGTTTTCTTTTTTTGTTACGTTAATAAAGCAGATTAAATGCCCAGGAACAATGACATGCTTTACGATTACTCGCATGAAATTGTTACGTGAAAATTGTATTCTATCCTTGGATCTGAAATACTTAGTAAAGGTATAACAAATGCTGTTAAAAGTCAAAACAATATTAGTATTTTTCTCTGTAAAGTGATAATTAAATTGGATCACGTGAAAAATTAACTATATATATATACACATATATATATATAGAGAGAGAGATAGGGGCACTTAAAAAAGTTCTTACTCACAAATTAGAGTTATTTAACATTAGTTAACCCTAATTAACATGTATTTTCATACAAAATGAACATGTACGCGTTTTTTCTATATAATTTGAGTACTGATATGAATCAACAAACAGGGCCCTGACTCAATAGTTGCTCTTTCATAACATCGACAAGATAAAACAAAAAATTAAAAATCACAGATTAAAAACTGACAACCTAAGAGTCATCACAAGGTAAAGCATCCTTCTTAATGGGTGAAATGAGATTGGGTGAGAAGTGTGAAAGTTAGTTATGAGGTCAATGATTAACCTTTAACCTCAATCCTAATTCACCCGGGAAGTTCTTTTGCTTAGCACTAATCTTGCATTTCATCAATAAATCTCCAAAGTCCTTTGGTGTAAGTGTATAAAAATAAATCAAAAACTAAAGTAGTTTTTGAGCCCAAAATTATAACTGTAGTTACCAAAGTCGCCAATGTCTTTATGGTCAGGAACTTATGTACATCAGTCCATAAAATATTACTACTAAGGGCTAGTGATGGTACTTAAACTTAAAGTCTAGTATTCAAATTTCTTGAGGTAACTTTAAAAGGTGATCAATTTTGTTGTCTGAAATTATGTATATTATGGAGTCAATGAATGGGTTTTATTTGTGAACTCGGGACTGGAATGTACTTTTAAGGAAACTAGTAATGAAGATGTGCAATTTGTACCTAGAGTTTGTAGGTTGGAGGATATCATAATTAATGTAGAGGCAATAGATAAAGAAAAGTGTAGACTGAGGGAAATGGCAGCAGGATTTTAAGACGAGCTTAAGCTTTTACATTTAAGGAATACATCAGCTAACAATGACTTTCAGGAAGTTATAAAGAATAATATAAAGGCTAAAAGTAGTGAATTTAGTTATAATGAGCCTATTCTGTTGAACAACAGATTTCAGCCCTTGGCTTCTGCAGATGAGGGACTATTGGAGGAAAGGAAAACAAAAGGATCAGGGAAGGATGTGGATGATAAGGAGGTTATGGTTATAGGTGATTCCTTGACAAGGCATATGAATAGAATAGTCTGTGGGGTAAATAGAAAGAAAAGAATCAG